ATATTAGTTTAAAAGCTAAGGCAGAGGTTTTTAAGTTCCAAGAGCAATTTGTTTTAGGATATGTCCTCAGATACACAAATTAGGAAATGTTTTCTTGAGGCATAGCAACTGGGAAAACTGTTCAAATGCACATTTGCAAACACTCTAAGGGAAATATTTTCCACATTATATTTTTAAAGCACCCAGAAGGTGGTTCCACATTGGAAAGGCCTCAAGGATAACTTCTGACATTGCAAATGTGAATGTCCCCAGGTGGTCATTCAAAAATAGATTAAAAAAAAAAAAAACCCAGCACCTCCTACAGGTGGATAATTCATTATCCCCATTAAGTTGTGCAGTTTGAAAATGAGCAAGCTCAAGACATGCTCAGATAAGTTCATGGATATCTCATGCACAGTGGGCTAAAGGGGAATCGGATGCATTCTTAACCTTTTGAGGTCAAAATTTAGGAAGCATGTGGAGTTGTGGCAAGTGGATTAGTGGCCTAGAGATGGCAAAGTATCCTTTGCTCTACCTATTAATTAGGTATGTGACCTTGGGCAAATAATTTCACCTCTCTTGTGTCTCCGTTTATTATCTATAAAGTGAGTGGGTTGAACTTTACCACAAAATCCCTTCCAGCTCTAAAATCTGATGAAACAACTTCACGGAGAGCAAATACAATGCGCTCTGCAAACTGTTTCTTTGAAGCATTAAAGACCACCAAGAATTACATGGACCAGACATTTCAAATTAATTCTGGGCCGACTCTCCTGTTGTCTGGCGCACAACCGACTGACTCCTTACTTGAACTGCACTGTTTCTCTTTCACTGGGCACTCGAATCTATGGATCTCATCTGGGATTTGGAAAGTAGAACAGGTAATATCCTCATTTACAGAAGGAACTAAAGCATCGGGCTTAATGCCGTGTTTCAAGTCTCACAATCGGTAAATGACAAAGTCTACTTGACCTCATTGCTCTAAAAAGGCGGACTGGGGGTGGCCTGGAGGTGGTATTGGACAATACCAAACAGCCAGCTGTTCTGTTATCCCTGAACGGCAAACCCTCCCAGGAAAAGGCCTCAAGCGGACTACTGAGTTCAAATCCCTTGAAGGTCAGGTCGGCACGGCTTGCGAAACTCATGGTTTGGATCCCGCCAATTCAAAATTCACGCGGCTGTGAGTGGGTTAAGGTTTTCCCAGGGAGGAGGCAGGGGGAGGACTACCAGGCCCAGGGAGCCTATGGAACCCAGGCCCTTGGTCTGCGAGGTCAGGGTTGCCTGGAATGGGTCAGTCACCTGGGAGCCGGTTCCGCTGCCTCGGGCCTCGGACGCACACTGTCCGCACCAAGGGCGCCAGCTTCTGCTTGAATGCACCTGCTGCCAGGCTTCCACACCGGAACATTTCGGCAACCGCTACTCTGTACCTCCTCCTTTCCTTTCTTCTCACTGACCCACCGACCGGTCAAACACGGTGGGCCCCGGCCGGTTCCCCCCCCCGCTCCCCTCACACGCACTATACGCAGGCTCCTCCTTCCAGCTCCGGGAGGGCATTGGACAGTTAAACTGGCCTGCTAGAGCAGGGGAAGGGGAAACGCGGCTGGAGGCCTACTGCGCAGGCGTAATACTCAGCGCCGCATTGCGATTGGCTCGTACGGCTAGAGATTTGCGCATGCGCCTGGCTGCCCACACTGTTGCAAAGACCGCGGCAGCGGGTGTTCGCAGGTTTCCTCGGGTTGGTGGCAATGTCCGCTGAGCGAGTTTCCAAAGGAGGGAGTCGTGGGGCCTCTTTGCCTGGCGGTTGTGGCCGGTGCTGCCGCTGTGTCGATGGCGGGAACAGATAACAGTACCTCACAAAGCGTGAGCACCGTAGCACCGCATTTTGTTCTCCTGTCCTAGGCTACCACTCGGTACTAAGCCTTCCTGATTCTCTGGCTGTATTCCACTTCCAGTCTTTCCATAAGGTCCGAGCCAGAGCACCTGGCTTACCAGATTCGGAGTGGACTTCCGTCTTTTACAAATTGCTGGCACTTTCCCACCCAGCCCCTTTTTCTAGGAGAAGTAATCATTCCGTGCTCTCTTTCCCCATGTCGTTTTTATATTGTGCAATTCTATTCCTAGGTGCTGTACCAGGTGCTGCGGATAATCTCCTACTATTATGGCTTCTGTGCTTGAGAGCAAGGATGCTGGCAAAAAGAGTTTGTGCTTTGCAGAGAAATGCTAAGCAGGACTTTCGAGTTGCGGGAGGAGTAGGGTGAGGGGCTGAGTGTAAATAGGTGTTTTGACTCTCCCAAATGTAAGCTAAGTTGGAAATAAATTTTTTGACTGTTTGCAAAACATAAACATAGGTCTTTTTCAAAGTTTGGGGTTACATATTCATTTAACAAGTGTATAATGAGTACTTGCCACTTGGACTATATTATGAAAGGGGCTCTGGAGCATGTGGAAAGTATAGGAAGTGGTCACTAGTTGGGGAGATGACACATACTATCATTTAAATAATATGGAATGTCTCCTTCAGTGCCAGAGCAAGAGAAAAGTGAATAGGATGGAGTAGCTAAGGAAAGACTTCATGCAAGTGTTACTTGAGCTTTGTCTGGAGGGATGTATAGTAAAATTCAAATAGACAGTGGAGGAGGAGGAATGACATTTCAGATGGTGAATACATTGGGACCAAAGGTAATATTTTTAGTGGTTGAGCACCCCTTGACTTTGGATCCAGTCTCACCCAGGTTGAATCCTGGCTCTACCACTTGGGCAGGTCACTTAACTGTGCCTCACTTTCCTCATCTACCAATCTCCTAGGGTTGTTGTTATGAAGATTAAATGAGCTAATATTTGTCAAGTATCTTAGAGGAAGCACCATGCTGTTTAAAAGGCTTAGAGGTGTAAAACAAAGAAACAAACCCCAGCACATTTCTGGGGGACAATGACAAAGAATATATACTAGGAATTAGATAAGGACAGGTTAATATTCTGGGGCCAGAGCTGACTTGGCAAAAGAATTTGGCCCTAATCTTGTAGGTGATGAAGTTTTTTTTCTAGTGGAATAGGGATAGAGAATGAAATCACAAGACCTCGTTTTAGGAAGTTTAACTCAGGAAGCAGTCTTAATTGGGTGAAAAAGGTCCAGGGTTCCCTTAATGTTCAGAAGCGCAGGCAATGGGTGACTTTTTACCTAGGGCTGCTTTGAGGGATAAATACTGAAAATATCAATTTCACAATAGGGTAAAATTATTTATATGTACTTAATATATTAAAGGCCTTACAGACATTGATATTTCTTACTATTTCTAAAAGCCAATAACAATAATAAACATGGAATACAAAATTAATCATATCTGTTGGGGAAAGAGGCTTTGGAAAACACAGTCAAAATCATGATGATCAGGTGCCTATGAAAATGGCTGGGTATATTTGAAAGACAATCATTTAGTGATGCACAATTAACACAAAGAACAGGTGCTGTATAGCACATTTTTTTTTTTGCAATAGATGCAATGAGGTACTTTAAAAAAAATCTCTAATTAAAAATTATATTTCATCATGTTTTTTGCAAAAGCAATAAACACACAACAAACTAACTCCAAAGATATAAGTGAAAATTTCCCCAAAATCTCACCCCACAGAGGTAACAAGCACTTTTTATTAGGGCATGGTGCCCATTTTGAGATACCATATTTCCAGAAATGAGTGTTTCTACCTTAAAGCTATAATATAAACTCTGAGAGTGACAAGTTTTTGCTGGAAGCACACATCTAAATAATCTCATGTGGATGTAATGTTTTTTGTATCTCTCAGAAAGTTAGCATTGATTCTGACTGTGAGTTGGCTTCTTTTCACTCTACGTACTGGGTATGCCTAATTAATAGTTACTCCCACTTTTGTAACTACTCTTCTGTAGATAATGATCACCAGGAGCATCACAAATACAGAGGAGAATGATGCAGCAAACTATACTTAGACATCAGCCAATCAAAAAGCCAAAATACTGTACAGTGAAGATTGCTATTCACACTGTACCATAATAATTGGTATTCATAATGATGACCTTGGATTAGCCACTTAAGATTAAATCCTCGAGATGGTTTTAATAGTGAATAGTATAATCTAGGGTTTTAGAAATGGGTAACTCACATATTTTGGAAAAGAGTTAGCTGTAAGTATATCTGCTAACTCAGCTAAACAGCTTATTAACAGAAGACCCCCAAGTTTTCCCAGCCATTTTGAGTAACTTGGACTTGGCTGAGCGGTCACATTCCAACTTGCTTACAGATCTATCACCGATTCACTGAATTGTTCTTCTCATAGTGGGAATGGACTTGGTCACGTTTGTCTCTTCTGCCGCTCAGCCTCGCACACAAATAAGATGGCAGCTCATGTGCACCGCTGGAATCCCTGACTTCGATGGCATTAGCAAGTAACTCATATGTGGGTGCTACTGACATATGTCAATATTGCCTTGCCTTAGCCTGTGAAATGTGTGAGAGGAGGGATAAAGTCTTAAAAGCAAACAAAATGGGTGCATTTTATTGTATGTGAATTGTACCTCAGTAAAGGTGATTTCAAACAAGCAAATTCTGAACCTGAATCATCCTCAAGAGAAGGAATACAGGTCTCCACCAAGATGCGTGATGCTTAGTAAGCTTTGGGAAGCTGCCCCCTAATACCGTAAGAAAGTTCTGTTCATTTATCATCTTCCAAGCATAATCTAGGCTTCTGGCAAATTAGACTCAACCACTTTGTTCTACATTCAGTTGCAGAGGGGTGAACCCTCCTAGGGGTTTCCAATTCCTTTCGAAACTCCACCATTCTGAAAGGACTTATGATTATATGGACATTATATCATATGGGAGACACTGTGAGGCTTATGCCGTGTCCCAAGATCCCTCCACCTGGGTCAGTAATGGTTAGCCCCGAAAACAAGGTTCCCTTTGGCTGGCGCTGCCACCACTAGCTTCCCCCCTTCTCCTACCCCCCGTTTGGCCCTCTCCGGCGGCGGGCCTTCCCCATTGGCCAGCCAAACACAACCGACTGCGACAGCCAATGGAGGCCGCTCTCCTGAACATTCAGAGGATGGGTGCTCGTGGTGTGATGAGGGGAGGTTGGCGCCTGGCACGCGGCCCCCTACATCTGGCAAGTCGGTGACAGAGACAGTAACTCCCCCTACACACGCACATCCCGTGCCCCCGGCTCCCTCCTGTCAGCTGCGCGGGCCCCCACAACCCAAGGCATGTCTTGGCAGCGCCCTCCCCGGCTCCGTGGGGCGCGCGAGTGCACCTGCTTACTCAATAAGACAGAGCATCCCTTTATCCCAAGGCTTGGGAGGGGGCCGAGGAGGCGCGGGAGGTGAAAGAGGTATCTCTGCCCCTCCCCACCCCCCTCCGAGTCGTGTCGCTCCGGGGCCGAAGTGGTCCAGAGATGCCTTACGGTGCAGCTCTCTTTGTCCTCTCCAGCTGTGCTCCCTGCCCACTGACCCCGCGCGCTCCGAGAACGTGGGGGCGGGGAGCCCGCAACCTATAAAATAAACGGGGGCAAGGAGAAAGGAAGACCTTCCCGGGGCGGCGTGTGCCGCTCTCCTCACCCCCTCCCTTCCCTCTTTAGGCTTCCTCCCTCCGGTGTGTCCCCGGGGTCCAGGCAGGGGAGGGTCTAGGCAACGGCGCGGCGGCGGCAGCCGCTTGGGGAGTGCTGTAGGACCGCCTGCCCGAGCGTCCGGTCCGAGGGCGCAGGCAGAAGGAGGAGGCTCGCGGCCGGCTCACTCTCCTCCATCTCTCTCCGGCTCGCCGGCTTTTGTGTCGGTGCCTCGGAGCGGCAAGGAGGGTGCGCTGGCGGAGGAGGGGGGCCTGGGGAGAGAGGCACCCCCTTCACGCGCGCGCGCACACGTTGCCGGCGCACGCACACACGCGCGGACATACACTCACAGACACGCACACACTCACACGCACAAAGCTCGCTCGCCTCGAGCGCACTAACGTGGCCGTTTTCTTTGTGTGGAGCCCTCGAGGGGGGTTGGGGCCCGGGTCCGGTCTGGGGGAGATGGCGCAGCCCATCCTGGGCCATGGGAGCCTGCAGCCCGCCTCGGCCGCTGGCCTGGCGTCCTTGGAGCTCGACTCGTCGCTGGACCAGTACGTGCAGATTCGCATCTTCAAAATCATCGTGATTGGGGACTCCAACGTGGGCAAGACCTGCCTGACCTTCCGCTTCTGCGGGGGGACCTTCCCGGACAAGACTGAGGCCACCATTGGCGTGGACTTCAGGGAGAAGACCGTGGAAATCGAGGGCGAGAAGATCAAGGTGATCCAGACGGTCAGGTCCGGGAAGGGAGGGATCTGGGAGGGGGGCCTCGCCCGAGGCATCGCTCTAGTGGTTGTAAACGTCCAGCGCGTGGCCGTGTGGCCGCTTGCCGAGCCCAAGACCCTCGGCACCTCCTCATTCCCTTTCGCTTCTCTCAGTGGCCTGGTTCCCACCTCACCCGTTTTGTTTTGCTTTTTAGGGCTGGCGGGAGTGGTTACAGTCCTGCCCTTTGCCCCTGCCTGACATCTGCCACAGGAAAAGCCTGTCTGATCCCATCCTTGACCCTGAGCCAGGAGCATGGCACCTGTGGGCAGAGGGAGGAATGAGGCATCTCTTGGTCCTGGTCCGTGGGATAGATCCCAAAGCACTTTACACATCCTGGGGTCTCTTCTGCCTCTTGGGTATGAATGGGCTGCAAGAACCCACTTGGGCTTAGCCCTGAGGCATTAGAGAGGGGGAAAAGATGGAAATCCATAGTGAATGAAAAGAGCTTTATTTTAAATTATGGCTTATGGTTAAGCTTAGGGCTGAGGTGGAATAGGGGTGAAGTGGGGGTGGTTCTGGCACAAAGCCATGAGCCCTTTTAAAGCAATTGAGACAGGGTCACACACCAGCCCTGCATAAGAGACAAACTTGTTCTCTTGAAGCAGTCTCTCTCCAATGGTCTCTTCTTTATTTGTCTGCGATACCTAATGAATGAACTGCTTCATTACTCATTCTGTTGGTATTGTCTTCAGTAGGCCTTCGTAAAAATGCAGAGCAACTTATCTGGAGGCCAAGGAAAAGTGTCTTGCTCCTCCCCCCTCATCAGTTTATTTATCAAATAGGCTAAGTACAGATAATCTTGTCTGACCATTTATGCTCACTTTAGTTCAGATAAGGTAGAAACCCAGGGCGCCTGGGTGGCTCAGTCGTTGAGCGTCTGCCTTCGGCTCAGGTCCTGATCCCAGGATCCTGGGATCGAGCCCCGCATTGGGCTCCCTGCTCAGTGGGGAGCCTGCTTCTCCCTCTCCCACTCCCTCTGCTTGTGTTCCCTCTCTCGCTGTGGCTCTCTCTGTCAAATAAAGAAATAAAATCTTAAAAAAAAAAAAAAAAGGTAGAAACCCAATAGGACAGAAATAGTTCAATGTGCAGAAATATTTCTATGTGCAGAAGGAGGACATGACAAGGGCAGCTTCATGTGTCAGGGGAGCACAGGGGACAGGATGAGGGGCAGGAATGCACCTCAAAAGGCACTGGGCACTAAAGGCCAACTCCCCTAGGCCCACAGCTGGGCTTTTCTCGAGGCTATGGTCTGACCCTGTCGGGTGAAGGTCAGCCTCCCCCTTGCTGGTCAAAGAGCCCAAAGGACCCCAAGGCCCCTCTTCTGGGTGAAGTGGAGAGAAGGGCTGAGTAGTGGAGAAGAATGAAACACTCTGAACTGTGCACAACTCCGGATTCCTTGATTATTAAAATGAAGGTGTTTTATTTTATTTTTATTATTATTATTTCTTGGATGAATGTGTTAAAATGGCTTCAGAGACTGGGCCAAGGCACTAGACGTCAGGAAGATGGGCAGCTCAGTCCTGGTAAGGGAGAGCTCTGGAGAACAAGTGAGTCCCAGGGTCAGGAAGATAGGGCACTGTTTTGAAATAGTGACCTTTTTGTTCCTTGCATTTTGAGGGGAATTGCTACATTTCCTTTTTAAGTTAAAAGTAGCTATCCGTCTCTATCCTTTTCTAGGGCTCTTATGTTGAGGTTTACTTGCTTTGGACTTTCTCTTGTGTGTCAAACTTCTTTCATGCAAGGTTGTAAGATTCTGGAATTTCTAAAACATGCCTTTTTTTAATGCAAAGTGGGAATATACTTACGGATGTGCTCTTCAACCCTCAAAGGCCTTAATGCTTAATGCTATTGCTTGCTTAAAATCAAGTGTCCCATTGAGCCAAAGAGTTCTCTGGATTTAAAAGAGGGGAAATAAGTCCACCTGAAATTCATATGGAGGAAAAAGAAGCGTTTGGGAGTTTGGGGAAGGAGGGAGGAGAGAGGACAGGAGGAGAGGAGAGGAGGAAGCCAGAAAGTGGGAAATGGGAGGGAAAAACAAGTGGAAGAGGGCCACTGCCCAATGGCCTTGGGGAAATTTTTAGAAGACTCCTTCCCTTCTAACACCCCAGTACTTAGCGAAACTGGATTTTACAGTCTTTGCCAAAGATTCCAGACTTTTTCCCAGAGGGCAGAGCCTGTGACAGTGTGACTCACCAGAAACAGAGCTCAGCACAACACCATGTGCCGATAAGTGCTTAATACAGGCTTTTTTTGGAAGATGATATTTTCGAGAGGGCAGAGCCTTGTGACACTGCTCCCCGAGGGGCCTTCTGAGTGCAGATTCTGAAGGAGTTCAGGGTGCGGGGTGGGGGCGGCGAGAGGGTGACCCTGCCTCTTGTGAAGCTGCTGCAGCTCGGGGGCCCAAGGCAGCAGGCGAGAGCGGCGTGTCTGTGGGAAGGTGGCCGCGCAGCAGCTAGCTCCGGATCTAGAGGGGAGGCGATTTTGCCCAACACTCCCGCCGGCTGGGCGTTTTTCAGGGAACAAATGCCGAATCCCTGCGAGGTGACTGCTGAAGGCTTCTCCCTTCGGGGGAGGGAGAGAAGTCCAGGGTGACAGGCTGAAGTGGCCCTAGACCACAGCCAGCGATAGGAGTGCCAGCCCCCACAGGGCCAGGGTGGAGAGGTCTGGGCAAGCTCTTCCCCGGCCCCGGAACAGGGTGTGGCCTCTGCTGGGCTGCCTCACCGGGCCCCTGCAGGGGGATGGGGGACTGTGTTATTGGATTGGGGGCTACTCTCTTAATTACCAGGGCCATCTCTAGGGCTTCAAAGCCCCATTTGGTGTCTCCAATCATGTATCCCCGCCCCCTCCCGATCACAACATTTATAATCCAGTGTTTCCTGGTTAACATGAACATCCAGGAAAGCTTCCAATGAGTAGACAACAACAACAATAATAATAATAACTGCTATTTATTGATTAAACCAAGAGCCCGGGCTAGGTGCTTTGCATGCACTATCTAATTTGATCTTCACAGCTGCCCTATGCAAATCGGACTGTTATTATCATTCCTATTTTATAGATACGGAGATCAAAGGTAGGTTAAATAATTTGCCTAAAGGCACTTGGATCTGAGCTCCCGTCTTTGACCCTTGAGCCCAAGCACTCCTCTGTCTCACTACCCTGCCTTCCCTGGGACAGGGTCCGGATTTCCACGTAGATTCAGAGCCCATGCTCTTTACCGCGGCTCTCTGCTCTTGGGGGGGCAATCTCTGGCCCCCGGGCAGTGTGCTCAGGGGTGGGTAGCAGGCGGGGCAGCCAGCCTTGTGGGCTCTTCTAGGCCAGGGACCCGGGGTTATAGCCCTGGAACTCAGGAGCCTTCAAGATGTCTCCTTCAACTGCACCCCAGACACTGAGTTGAGTGCCTGGGTTTTACTTTTTGCACCTTGACTGTCTCCCTTTGGATGTGGAGAATCGGAGAATGTTCAGAGATGGAAGAGACCTTAAAGAATCTCTAACCCAGTGTCCTCATTTAACAGAGAGGAAACTGAGGCTTGGAGAGGGAAGGTGACTTGCCCAAGATCACACAGGGACAGGCCTACCGCTCAGGTCTCCCCATTCCCTGGCCAGTGCTCTTCCCTGGCAATTTGGGCTAGTCCCATGGTGTGCCCAACCCATGCAGTTACCTGTGACAGGGACACGAGGGGCATCATATAGGAAAGATGACAGGTCTTCCTGACATGAGCCTTTAAGGACAGGATGTGTCCATCTCCTACAGGTTTAGCTCAATCATACTGAGCTTGCCACAGCCCAAAAGCACTGAAAAATGCCAGATAGGAGTGGGGGGGGGGGCGGATGGAGGAGGTAAGAGAGGGGAGGCTCAGAACTAATTTTTGAGCCATTCTTTGTAAATTCTCATGGAATTTACCCCTGCTCCTGTCTAGTTTGGTTCTCCCCCCGACAGCTGGGCACCCCCTCTGCCCCAGCCCTCCAGACCAGGGGCGAACTGCAGGTCAGCCATGGCCGTGGGCAGGTGCTGCCCAGGACTGTGGACTCTCTTCCTCTGCTGAGCACTTGGACCAACACCTTCCTGTGTTACATTACTGAGTGGATGGAGGCTGAGCTAAGTGTTCCCTCAGAAGCTGCCTGCAGTCAGAATGACATCATGTCTTCCTTAGGGCTTCTGAGCTTCCATCTTCTGCCAGTTCGCTTAATGGCTAATTATCTCTTAGTGTGTGTTTCTCTGTCGGCCTTGCTGCCTCTCTTTCTGCACGTGAGTTTCTCTTTGTCTCTGTCCTCCTTTGCCATTCTCTGTGTCAGCGTCTTGTGTGAATGCGTGTGTATCTTAGACGCAGATGGGACAGTCCAGCTAGTTGAAAAAAGATTTGTTTTAGACTTTTTCCATCATCCATTCGGGCATCCTCCGAAGGTTACAGATGTATTTGTCTCCCTTTTTCTATTTCTACCCTCCCCCACCGGCCTCCAACAAAAGGACATTCATCTATAGAAAGTTGCCAGATATGTTCCCCAGGGAAAAGAAATACCCATGTCAGCTAAGAGCACGTGCAGGGGTGGGGGACTTGCTGAAACTTGCTCAGGCAGCGGTAGCCCCAGGAAAATGGTTTAAAAAACTAGATTTGTCTTTGGCAGCTCCCCACACTCTGCCCCTCGACCCTCCTCCAATAGGACAGGACCCCCTGTCCCTTTGGGCCTGCCCCCAGCCACCCATGGCATGTTGCTGGCTTTACTCTCTTCTCCCCCTCCCCAGTGACTGCCTTAGCTTTGGCTCTCGCCCATCATCAAGAAGCCAAGCTTTCTGGGCTTTCCAGGAGGAGAACCAGTGGATCCAAGGACCAGTGCTACCAGGACAGCTGATGGGCCTTCTGAGACAATGGCAACAACTAGCTCTTGCAGAACACTTATATTTTGCAAAAGCTCTTTCTTGTGTGTTATTTAATTTGCCTAGTCATTTACTCCGCTACTAAGTAGAGGAGCTGGAACCCAGGTCTCTCAATTCCAAGGCTACTGCTGCTGCATTTCCCACAGCACCTGCTCAATTAGTTGTCAGGCCAGACTTGATGGTGGAGGTTTCGGGCCAGGGAGGAAGGGAGAGTGCGCATTAGGCGCTGTGTCCTGTACTTATAAGGAACGCTAATGCTTACAGCATCCCCACAAGACTGCTGAGGTTATCCTCAGTTTGCAGGGGAGGACACTGAAGATAGAGTAAGTAACTTGCCTAAGGACACCTGACTAGTAATAGCACGTGATTGTGCTGAGGTTTGTATCCAAGTTGGTTTGCTTCCTCTATGCCCCCACTAGCCCTTGGAGAGAATAGAGGATCTGGGGAGCAAGTAGGTGGCTAAGGGGCAGTCAGCACCCCTGGCTACTGTGTGGATGCAGGGCCCACAGGAAAGGAAGAATGGATGAGAGGAGTACCAGCTGGAAAGCGGAAGGAGATGCTTTCACTGTCTGGCAGGGATCGTGGGTTTGGGAGGATGCTAAGAACAGGGACACCAAACCCCCAAACAAAATGAGGTCATTTGTGTGCAGTGAACCGACTGCTGTGCTCTCCCTTTGTGATGGCTCTGAGGCCAAACCATCCATTCTGATTTTCTGCTGTGAGCAGCCTGTTTCCTGGCTCACTGCTGTCCACAGAGAGGGGTGCAAAGAACTTCAAGGTGGGGTTTATAAGGAGCTAGAACGGGAGCAGGGTTACAGTTTAAATTCTGAGCCTCCAGACAAAAGCTTCAGGGCTCCCCATGGCATTGGAAAGGCAGAGGAGGTCTACAGCAGAAAGGGTCTTTCCCCCACAGCTCCGGCAGTTTGGATGGTGTATACAATTCTGAAGCCAAAGAAAAGCCAAACAGCCAACCTACTCAGCCCCAAACACCTCACACACTCCCACCCGTGTTCCTGCTAGTGGCAGGTATTTTTAGAGTTCTGAGCTCATGGTGTTAAAGCATCTGCCACATGCCTGAGGGCTGGTAGGGATTCAGCCTTGCTCAGAGGCAGGAGTTAGGACTACTGGAGGGTGGGGGTGGGGAGCCAAGTGGTAATGATATTCTTGTGCTATACCCGCTCTCTTCCCACTGACCTCCATCCCTTTCCTCGCCCGCTCTCCCTTCCTCCCTGCTCAGAGCACTGGCGAGGGGGAAGAAATGAAATCTTTTCTGTCTCTGCTTTCTGACGCAAATCAGTGTTCAAGGACTTATGTTTTTCTGCGTAACCAAAATCGAATGTTCTCTCTGAAATCGCCTTGGCAGATATGTAGGATGCCAGACTGCTTGTAGTTTTGGTGGCTCAGGCCAGTACTGCTTTTTGATGATGATGATGATGATGATGATGGTGGTGGTGGCAACCATGGTGACAAGTGATCTGATGCAGAAAAAGAACTGCTTACAAGTTTGGCTGGAGAAATGCCAAGAGCACTGATTAAATAACTAGAGAACAAATCATATATTCTAAGTGGTGTGGTACAGGGGCACCTGGGTGGCGCAGTCGGTTAAGGGTCTGCCTTTGGCTCAGGTCGTGGTCTTGGGGTCCTGGGACTGAGCCCTGTGTCGGGCTCCCTGCTCAGCCAGAAGCCTGCTTCTCCCTTTCCCCCTGCCCCTCCCCCCTGCTCATTCTCTCTCTCCTCCCCTCAAAATCTTTAAAAAAATAAATGGTGTGGTACAGACTCAAAGTGCAATAGAAAGTTTTAAGGAAAGAGAATTTAAGAGAAGTTGGAGAAAAATGGAGTTTTAGGAAGAAGGCAGATGTGAGCTGAGCCTTGAAGGATGGGTGAGACTCAGATAGGGCAATGAGGGGGCACCCAATTCTGCTGGGGAAGGATGGACTAGCACGAGGGAACAAACCGGGTGTAGCCGAGCAGTCTGAAACCAGGCTGGGTGGAGTGGAGACTTCTAGAATCAAAAAGACTCTGCTGTAGTCCAGCAGTGAGGAGAGGAGGGTCTGGCCTAGGGACATGAAAATCAAAATAGAAGAAGGGGGGGTGCCTGGGTGGCTCAGTTGGTTAAGCGACTGCTTTCGGCTCAGGTCATGATCCTGGAGTCCCGGGATCAAGTCCCGCATCGGGCTCCCTGCTCGGCAGGGGGTCTGCTTCTCCCTCTGCCCTCTTCCCTCTCGTGCTCTCTGTCTCTCATTCTCTCTCTCTCAAATAAATAAATAAAATCTTTAAAAAAAAATAGAAGAAGGGGTGAATCTGACAATTGTGCCAAAGGAATGTGGCAGTCCTGTCCCTAGAGGAGATGAAAGGGAGCCTGGACAATGAAAATTGATGTTCAGAATGATGAGGACTCTGGGGCCCTGTAAGATCTTCACTCAGCAAAGAGATTCAATTATATTTACCAGATACTCACTGACTGCTAACTCCAAATAAAGGCTATACTTGGTTTTAAAGAGCTGTAGTAGTCAATTAGTGACCATAATCCAATTTTCTTTGATAACTGAGAATTGTATAGGGCCTTGGGACCATCATTCTGATTATGAATTTCTCTTGTCCAAGACTTTGGATGTATAAAGGGAAGTAGATGGGGCTGAATGTGTGTCGACTCCAGGGTATCCCTTGGGAGTTGCATCTTTGTATATGTTACTGATATCAGCATTTTTCCTTCATAATTTGGCCTTTATCCTAAAAGCTGAGATGCAGAAGAAAAATCCAGTGAGCTAAATTGCCTTTTACATACCAAAAAAGTGAACTTAAAATAAGCTAAAAGATGAGACTTTTAACACTAATTTCATTTTCTTTAAAAAGTCATGCAAAGAATGCAAGACAAAATGATATATGTTTATAGTAGAAAATTTGGAAAATACAAAAAAGAAAGAAAATAAATACCATCTATAGCCCATGGCCCATAAATAACCATTAATCTCCTGGTACGTACGCTTCCAGTCTTTCCTAGGCATATATCTATGTTTAATATTTTTCTGAAAAATTGGGACCATAGTATATGAAAGATTCTGTATCCTGCTTTTTTACTTCCTGATACTTTTTTTTTTTTAAGATTATTTATTTATTTATTTCACAGAGAGAAACACAGCAAGAGAGGGAACACAAGCAGGGGGAGCGGGAGAGGGAGAAGCAGGCTTCCCGCTGAGCAGGGAGCCTGATGTGGGGCTCGATTCCAGGACCCTGGGATCATGACCTGAGCCGAAGGCAGACGCCCAACGACTGAGCCACCCAGGCGCCCCTCTTCCTGATACTTTATGAGAATTTCCTCTTTGAAAACATTATTTTTAATGTCTGCATAATAGTCCATTGTATAGATATGTACATTCATTTTAGCTGTTCTCTTACTGATATTTTAGGTTATTTCCTGTTTTTAAAAAAGTATAAATAATACTGCAATTAAGACCTTTGTACAGAATTTTGACCACATCTCTATTTTATATAGCTTTCTGGAAGTGAGATTACAGACTTGAAGAATTTTGAATATTTTTAAGGTTCTTAATAATATTGCCAAATCGCCCTCCAGAAAAGTTCACCAATTTACATTAATTTTTCAACTAAAAGCCTTAAGATTTTTTAAAAAAGATTTATTTATTTGACAGAGAGAGAGAGAGAGAGTACAAGCAAGGGGAGCGGCAGAGAGAGGGAGAAGCAGGGTCCCACTGAGCAGGGAGCCTAACGTGGGGCTCAATCCCAGGACCCTAACGTGGGGCTCAGTCCCAGGACCCTGGGATCATGACCTGAGCCAAAGGCAGATGCTTAACCAACTGAGCCACCCAGGTGCCCCCAAGATTTTTTGACTCAAGATTTTCAACTAAAAATTTTAAGAAATATTTTACATCCCTGAGAGAAACCTCTCTCTATACTTTGATAAGTCCACTCTGCCAGTCTGTGTCAGGGCTTCTCACCACATTTTTGTTTTTTGAAGATTTTACTTTTATTTTTTTCAAGATTTTATTTATTTATTTGACAGCGAGAGAGACACAGCGAGAGCGGGAACACAAGCAGGGGGAGTGGGAGAGGAAGAAGCAGGCTCCCCGCTGACCAGGGAGCCCAATGTGGGGCTCGATCCCAGGACCCTGGGATCACGACCAGCACCGAAGGCAGATGCTCAACGACTGAGCCACCCAGGCGCCCCTGTTTTTTGAAGATTTTAAAATTTATTTATTTATTTGTCAGAGAGAGAGAGAATGAATGAGCGCACAAGCAGGGAGAGCGGCAGGCAGAGGGGAAGCAGGCTCCTCGCTGAGCAGGGAGCCCAGTGCGGGACTGGATCCCAGGATCCTGGGATCGTGACCTGAGCCGAAGGCAGACGCTTACCTGACTGAGCCACCTAGGCATCCCTCTCACCACGTTTTTTATAAGATCACAGAATCAAGTTTTCTCCTATGCATTCTTGTTTCCTTTTCTGACTCCAGATACGGGTTTTGTATCTTCCAGGTTCAGGTGTGGGACACAGCAGGTCAGGAACGCTTCCGCAAAAGCATGGTCGAGCATTACTACCGCAATGTGCATGCAGTGGTCTTTGTCTATGACGTCACCAAGATGACATCCTTCACCAACCTCAAGATGTGGATCCAAGAATGCAATGGGCATGCCGTGCCCCCACTAGTCCCCAAAGTGCTTGTGGGCAACAAGTGTGACTTGAGGGAACAGATCCAGGTGCCCTCCAACTTAGCCCTGAAATTTGCCGATGCCCACAACATGCTCTTGTTTGAGACTTCAGCCAAGGACCCCAAAGAGAGCCAGAACGTGGAGTCAATTTTCATGTGCCTGGCTTGCCGATTAAAGGCTCAGAAATCCCTGCTCTATCGTGATGCTGAGAGGCAGCAGGGGAAGATGCAGAAACTGGAGTTCCCACAGGAAGCTAACAGTAAAACTTCCTGTCCCTGTTGAAACCAAATGGTGTAAATACAAGATCCATTATTACTGGAGTTTTTTCTTTCCCTTTTTTTTCTGTGCCTGCGTAACGCTGACACTTGCTTGTTTCCATAAAAATTGATATTAAAATAAAATTTGTATAGATTATCACATGCCTTCATGTCTTGCTTTCCTCCAAGAAGACATTTCTGATTGTGCTGAGTAGAAGAGCAGCCTGCCCTCCTAGAGTGGTACACTTTGCCAAGGCACACTCCCTACCAGCCTTCTATGCCACCTGAATCATTTGAGTCACTTCTTCAGGACTAATTCTTTCTGTTAACTCAGTGTCATCAGTGGGCAGAAACACCCAAAGGGGGTGGGATACAGGCCAGACATGTTTTTCTAGGGTGCCAATGGAGGTGGAGGATAGAGAAATCTTGAAAGGAGATGTTGACTCACAAATATTTCCTAGGTTCCCTGGATGTCGAGAGTAGGTGGCTCTCTCCTTATTTCCCAAAGCTTAAAAATAAAAAGTATAAGTTTCCCAAGGGGCTCAGTTGGCTTCCAAAGTAGTTAAATCCTGCTTCCCATGTTTCACCATGCAGTCTCTGATACCCAGAGTGGTGTTTCTTGAAGAGGGTAAGACTCAAGCCAACAATCTGTTATGCCCCCAGATCCTTGCTGGGTCCTATGGAGGAAACATAGCAAGAAGAGGATTTGTCCCCTATGTTCAAAGACCCTCTGATCTTGTGGGAACAATGTACACACTGAAACCACTTGTGAACGAAAATTAGACAATGACATCACCAAGTTCGAGTCTGTGCCATGGGAATTGAGAGCGTTATGTACTCAACATTAGGGAGGAGTCACTGAAAAATAACTGACCTTATTTTGTATGTTGAATAGTGTTACATTTGGAGTGGTAAAGAGGAGGGGGGTGGGCCAAAGTAGGGAGGCAGGATTGACCTTGGGGGTTGAGTGAAAAGACAAGAGCTGAGCAGCCCTAGTGGGGAGTTGAGGATAAGGAGGCCTGTACAAGAGGCAGGACAGTTTGTTGCTCTTTGAGTCACTGGGAGTTTTTGGTGGCTCTCCAGCAGGAGTCCTGTAGGTATTTCTTAAATGTCTGGTCCTATGGATGTGAAAGCCCCCTGTCCAATTGTTAAAGCAACTAAGAGTGGTTATGAAGGCAGAGCTACAATAGCCCCAGATGGATTTCTTTGTTTTGAGGGTGCTCCTTAAGGCTGCTCTCTTGTCAGAAGCCCACAGAAAGAGGGTCCCAGGCAGACGAGCCCTGAGCACTTTCCTCTGCCAGGTGAATTCAGGTCTGTCCCCTGTCCTCCTCCCCGTCACCCCAGCGAAAGGTAATACTACCAGATGTGCTTCCCACCCAAACAAGTAGCCTGTCCGGTCCTGCCTAGTTGTCCCTAAAACCTTCTTCCTCTAGAACTGGCTAACTCCCCACCCCATCCCCATCCCACCCCCCACCTGGCCTCAAGCTGAGTCCCAGCCCCCAGTCTGGTTTTCATCACTTGGCTTCTGCCTGGATCTGTCTTTGGAACCTGCCTAATACCCTGGTTAGGGCTGTGTTTTCTTACAAGTTGTCCCCACCCAATGCCCTGCCCTTGAATCTCACCCAAGGGGCTGGGAGCCTGTTGTCTGTTGGCGAACTGTCTGCCGAAACCCCTGTTGCTATGCTTCTCCCCAGCAGAATAACCTTGGGCCTTGTCTCAGACTTGAGATGCTGACTCCTTACCTGGGACACGACCTGCTATTGTGGTCTTTTGGCTCTTGACCTGGCTGCAGGGCTGGATCATCTCTCAGTGGCCGCAGGTATGCTCGTCCATTCTAGTGGGTACATTTCAGTCTGCGTCCTGGCCTGTCTTGGTCAGGGACCTTCTCTGCTGTAACAGGGTCAAGATAACAACCTTCTAAGTCCTCTAATCAGGATTGCCTCTTCTAGACCTGAATTGCCTCTGACACCTTTTAGGCATTCAACAAACATTTACTGAGCATCTACTATGAGCCACTGTGCTAAGCCCTCGGGATATGGAGGTGAACAATATAAAATTCTGCTCTCATAAAGGAGATAGGCACTAAACAAGAAATGAGATCCATATGAGAGAATTTGAGAGCAGTAAGGACTCTGAGGGCCATAAAACGGTAAATGGATAGAAAGTGAGGGAGGGGGCAGGAGAGCAATATATTAGATAAAGTGAACACAAAAGATACATTTGAAGAGATAACATTTGAGCTGAGACCCGAATGAAGAAAAGCAACCAGGGGTAAGATCAGAAAGAGAACCCCGAGCAGAGGAAAGAGCAAATGCCAAGGCCCTGAGGCAGAAGTGAGGTTGGTGCGTTTGAGGAACAACCAAGAGGCTAGTGTGAGCAAGGGGGGAAATATGGGAGGTGGGGTTGAGAAGTAGGTAAGGCCAGGTCTACTGGCTAGGGTTTTATTTAAGTGCAGTGGGAAGCCAGTGGAAAGTTTTAGCATCATCTAGACTCAGTAACCTTTGGAAAGATTCAGAAGGCTTGCTGACCAGCAAGAAAGAGGGAAAAGCCTCTACTTTTCTTAGCTCCTCTGAGAGGAATAGACACCCTTCCTGGGTAACTCCTGAGTGTGGGCCTCAGGGCTGTCATTTCCATGCTGGCTGGCCCCCATCTTAAAAACCAGACTCTGGGGGCACCTGGGTGGCTCAGTTGGTTAAGCGTCTGCCTTCGGCTCAGGTCATGATCCCAGGGTCCTGGGATCGAGCCCCGCATCGGGCTCCCTGCTCGGCAGGGAGCCTGCTTCTCCCTCTCCCACTCCCCCTGCTTGTGTTCCCTTTCTCGCTGTGTCTCTCTCGCTGTCAAATAAATAAATAAAATCTTTAAAAAACAAAACAAAAACCAGACTCTGACCTTCCCCAAGACTATCATCTTTTGGTCCTGCCAAGGCTCTGGTAATTTTGCAGTGACTAGCAGGCACTCACCAATCCTACCTGCCTCTGTCCTCTGAGCCTCACCTTCGTGATCCTGTCCTTACCTGCAGTAATAACACTGCTCTCCCTCAAGTACCTGGGAACAGAGAATCCTGAGAACCTCCGGGCTTCACCCAGTCTCCCAGCCCTAGAACTTTCTGCTGGCATCAGCAGGGTGGCACAATGGCACTCAGGCCTCCATTAGATTGAGCAAAAAGATTTGGGAATGGGCTGTTCCTAGAATGCAACCAGAGGGAGGGGACTCAGGAGGCCAGAGAACCATGACACCCTGGTTGTTGTGAGGGTGGTGAGGAGCAGAGAGAATCAAGTGAAGTGAGGTGCTTCTAGGCCTCTCATTCAGCCTCACTATGTCTCTGGAATGATCCATGATGGCCAGGATGTCTCCTCTACAGCTCCTCTTTACTTTTTGGAGCTATGCCCTTGAATCTTCACCTGTGTGACAGAGACAGAACCCAGAGAAATAACTACCAACATTTGAATGCCTATTATATGCCAGGCCCTATAGTAAAACACTACATTCCTTCCCTAGCTCATTTAATGCTCCCTCAACCCTATGAGGTGGGGATAATGATTTCCATTTTACATATATGAATATAAATGTGCTGACAGATTTAGTGACTTGTCCGATATAGTAAGTGGCTAAGCGAGATTTGTCTTAACTTCAGTCTAGGCTCTTTCAGTGATATTATACTGTCTTTCTAGCTAGTTCCAAGCTCCAGAACCCTTGCAGGGATTACAGGTTCAATAGAGCTGGTCCCCCTGACCCATGGGGGTTTGGCAAGCAGGTCATTCAATATCCAGGAGGCCAGAATGGGAACATTCCTTCTTGAATGGGATGCCCTGATCAGGTCTCTGCAAGAAGCCCAAGTGGCTGACAGAATTGTCAGCTCTGAGCCAAAGGAGTCCCAAGATATCCCTGCCTTTGGACAACAGCTGGGAACCACACAGACAGCTGGATTCTGCTGCTCAGCCTGTGGGGCTGTAGGATATTGTCACTGGTCCCCCCCCGTTGCCCCACGAACTATCCCTCTCCCAGTATCTTGCATTTGCTCAGGCCTCCAGATTCAGCCTGCTGACTTGCTTTGGCCAAGTTCACTGAGGCTGAGGACTGTCTCAGCAGGATCCTTCAGTCAAAGAGCCCAAGACCAGATGCTGTTCTGAGCACCACCACCTAGAGCAGTGCCCAGGAGGGATACCCAGCCCAGAGTAGCTGGAGAAGCCCACCAAGTGAAACTGACTGCAGCCCACCCTGAGTGTGGGGTGGGGATGGAGAGTGTGGAGATGTGCTGAGAGCTCCCTGGAGAGCAAGGCTCAGCTTCTCTAGCAACTTCGAGTAGCAGATGCAGAAAGAGGTCAATGATTAGCCTCTTGTAACACCTGAGGGGACAGAGTCACTGCCTTAATTTACAGGCTCTCCTCCACTCACCATCCCTCATCCCCCGCACTGGGAGAGGCCTTGCTCCCTTTGGAAGGACTGGTCTAAGCTCCACTGCTTTCAAATCTTGTTCTGACTCCAAGTCCCCTTGAATATCCACGACCCTAACAACTGGAGCTGGGGCAGCAGGACCGAGATAGGGGTCCCAGAAATACCCTTAGATTAGCGGCTCCAGACAGTAGGCAAGGCCAAGTCTACTGGCTAGGGTTTTATTTAAGTGCAGTGGGAAGCCAGTGGAAAGTTTTAGCATCATGAGCCACCATTTTGGAGCATGGGGGCAGAGCTCAGGAATCTGTATTTTTAAAATGTCCATAGTTGGTTCTCATGTGCCTCCCAGGTCTCTTCTCTCTGGCACATGCTCTCTCTCTCTGGGTAGCTGGGCGTCCCCAGGCTTCCTGATGAACTTTCAAATCAGAAACTACCTTTCCCAAGCCAGAGCTTCAAAACTAGTGATCTGGGCAACCATGGAACCCAGCTGCGTGAAGACCACCCCACGCAAGACACAGCTTGATAATTCAATAGAGATTGCACGTCTGCTGTGTGCCCTCTGCTGGTTAAAATTCATGACGGTTGGAAAGTGTTCACCAGTAGGAGTTTTTCTGACTGGTACTGACCATTTCCTTGGTTGGAAGGCTGTACAGAAGAAGCTACTCCTGGTCCCAGTTTGGGCACTTAGACACCTGAAACTAGAAGGGTTACTAATTAAAAAAAAAAATAGCTTTATTGAGGTATAATCG